AATCCAAATACTCTAGATTATATGATAGTAATGAAATATGCAAAGAATAGTAATTTAAGAAATAATTTATTTAATATCGTTAAGGATAGATGGATTAATAAATTATATTTATTATATTAGTATACTTAATACAATACATTAAAAAAATCTTATTCATTGTGATTTTCATGATGGTAATATTCTAATTATTAGAAAATACGTTTTATCTATTAGTAATTTAGGATTATGTAAACCAGTTAATTATTTTCAAAAATCTAAAGAAAATGATATTTATGGAGTTTTACCATTTATAGCACCTGAGATTTTAAGAGGTCAACCTTATTCTTTAGCTAGTGATATTTATAGTTTTTCTATGATTATGTGTGAATTATTAGTTGGAAGTACTCCATTTAATAATGAAGCTCATGATTTTCAATTAGCTTTAAGTATTTGTAAAGGTAAACGTCCTAAAATCATAAAAAATATTCCACAATGTTATATAAATTTAATGGAATATAGATCCATTAAAAAGACCAACTGCATTAGAAATTAAAAATATTATTGAAAGTTTGTATATAAATATTAAAATAAATTATTTTAATAATAAATTTAAAAAAGATGTTATAGATTTTTATAAAGCAGATAAAATATTAAAACAAAACAAAGATATTATAAGTATTATAGAACCTTATTCACAAGTATATTATACAAGTTGTTTACTTAATTTTACTAAAAAATTAAATGAAATTTTAAATTATAAAATTCAAAATTCTTAAATTAGTCAAAATATTGGTAATTATTATATTATATATGAATTTGTAATATATAAAATATTATTAATTACTTTAATATTAAATATGTTTATTTTTAATTTAATAGAAAATATAAATATTATAAATATTAATAAATAGTTATTTAAATTAAATATTTAATTAAAAATTAAATTAATATATATTTTATTTTATTTTAATAATAGATAAAACAAATTAAAAATATTTATTTCATATTTTTTATAATTTTTAAATTTAACTTTTATGATTTTACAAAATATTTATTTAGTAATACTATCTATATATAGAGTAGTTTTATATAAAAACAATTTGTAATTACATAAATAAACTTTATACATAAAATTATAAATTTTATAAATTTTATATAAAATAAAAATAAAAAATATTAATTAAAAAACTTATTAGAACCAATTTTAATATAAAAATTATAAATATTTTAAACTTATTAAATTGAAGAAAATTTATATAAAATAATTATATTCTAAAAAAATATTAAAATATTAAATCCTAACTTGTCATAATATTAAAAATATTGTTATTTTAAAAATAAAATTCTAAAATAAAAATTATATAAATTTATTAATACAGACTTTTATTAGCTATTCCTTAGATTGAAGGGTTTCACAAGCAAATTTGCTTGCTTATTTACTATAAATTCTCTTCTGATTTACTTTTATAAATAATTAATATTTTAAAAAATTTATTTTTTAAATTAATTATATAAATATATAATATATTATAATAAGTTTTATCTTTTAATTATATAATAAAAAAATGTAATGTTACATAAAAGCTAAAAATTTTAATTTTTAAAAATATTTATTTTAAAAAATTTCATGATTAATCTATAATAAACTTTTTAGAATTTACTTTTTAACTATATTAATTATAATAGAATATTATAAAATTACTTATAAAGAAAACTTTTATTATTATAATTTTTATAATTTATTAAGAAATTCTATGACTTTAATTAATGATAAAGTGATTCAATTAGTATACAAACATATAAATTTTTAAAGAATTTTTAAAAAATTATTATATTAAATTTTTTGAAACTTCATTTTATAATTAAATTATTTTAAAACCTTTTAAAAACTTAAAATCTGTTAATAAAGTTGATAAAATATATATTAAATTATATTTTTTATATAGTAATAATATTGCTAAAATTAATATTTAATATTTTATAAAGAAATTAAAATTTTTTTTAATTTCGTAGGCAAATTTGTCTGCTAGATAATCTAAGGGATAAAAATTATATTATAGTTGAACCTCTTTATAATGAAATTTTATATTCTGAATTTTTTGTTATTATTAATTTTATGAGTTGTATTAAATAAAATAATTGAATATAATGAATTTTAATAATAAATCTTACTATTATTATTATTATTATAATGAATTGAAAATTCAATACCAAGTTACAAAAGAAACTTTGTTAATGAAGTTTTTATATAATGAATTTTATATTAAATTTAAGGGATATAGCAATTTTTCCTTGTATTACTATTAAAGAAATGTTACATTATAAATTTTAATAAAATATAAACTAATTATTTACATATTTGCAAGTATATAATAAAATATGTAAAAACATTAAGTAAATTGGTTTTAAACTGAATTATTTGTTCAGCTGAATTTTCAGTTACAACTTCTACAAGTTATAATTATTTAATAAAATTTCTATAGGGATTAATTAGTGTTGAACCTCAGATTAATTAGTGACAAACTTAGAATTAATAAGTGTTAAATCAATAGTGATTATTATGTTGACTCAATTTATTTAATTTCTATAGTTCAAATTTAAAATTGCTGAAAATTTTAATTGCAAAACTGAGAAAATTGTATAAATTTAAAATTGCATAATTGCTAAAACTATGTAAATTTTAAAATTGTAAAAAATTAGATTATTTCTTTGAATCATTGAATTTAAACATTGTTACAAACTTATTATTATATACTGAATTTGAATATTATATTCAGTATTACTATATAATGAATAAATTGTTTAAAATTCAGTGAAAAAATTTCAAATTTCTCATTATAATGAATTGTGACTTCCAAAAATAAAGATTCATTAAGATAGGGTTCAACTGTATTTAATTTTATTTTAATTAATTAATTAATTTTTTTATTTTATTTATAAAAAAATAAAATAATTTACTTTTCAAAAGATTAGGTTAGAAATTTTGGAATTTAGGATTATAAAATTCTGGATTATGATAATTTATTAATATTATTAGATTTAGAATAATGACAGTTTTATAAACATTAAAATATGAAAATGTTTTCAGTAAAAATCAAGTCATAAGACATAGTAAATCAAAATATCATAATGTGTTTTTACTGAAAACGCTTCTACATAATCAATAATAAGTGTGAGTCTAATGTTTATGAATATCTCTAAGTTTGCTTTATCTTTATTTCATATAAGATAAAATTTGGTTTACACCAATAAAAATAATAAAATATGAAAAATGTCAAAAGTTCCTGTTATAGATATTTTAAATATAACAATTGTATTATCAAATAAAAACTCTTAAAACATCAAACACGAGTACTTCTGCTTACCTTTAAACACCGTTTATAACCCATAATTACTAAAGAACTGCAATTAACAACATCATGAAATTATTAACGTTTATTAGATACAAATATTTTGAGTCAAAGTTTTTTTTAAAAATAAATAAAAATATGTCGATTTTTAAATAAAGAATGCGAGGTAAAGCATAATATATATTATAACAAGTATGTCATTTTAAGCCAAATAAATTGCATCAGATATATATACTATGTACATACAATTACTTACCAAGAATATAGAAGATAGCCTAGATTTAAAAGTTGCTACCATTCAAACTTACTTTCTTATCAAATAATTTGATAAATCATGTTCATATATTCTTTCACAGTGAATCTTGAGAGAATCGCCATAATCATTATCGAACAAAAAAGAGATCTTCATTCAAAGAACAATCTAACATACTGTACATGTCACTCTCGGAAATTAACTGCGCCAAAATTGGATTTCCGCAGTCACGACGATCAATTTTCTGACAATTCTGACATATCTGTTGGAATGATTTTTCGGACTTCTCGATAAGTTAGGACTCCTCGAAATGATGGAATGTATATGCGTTGTGACATAACGAAGCAATTAATAAGAACTTTCGTCGTCAATCCGCAAGAATTAGTAATCCTGCCAAGAATTCTATAACTAAGTCATGGGAAGGAAATTTATTATAAAAGAAGGGTTTTTCGTCTTGATTTAGAACAGAATTAGATAGTTTTCTAGGCCTATTACAGAGCGCCGGCAGAGGCAGTAATAGTTGCATATATTGTCTTATTTTTACATTTTTCTATATAATTTTTTTTCCTTTTAATTGTTTCAATAAAAACTTGATTTAATTCTATATTCGATTGTTTTACATTCATAGTTTCGCTATACTACATTGTGTCCCATAATAAACCCAATAAACCTAATAAATATAAATCGTCTCTTTACGAATTTAGGAGGTGACACATACAACTAGGAATATTGCGCGATACGTTAACTTTAAACGGATTGATTTTATTTCTAATGGATTGCATTTCGTAGAATCGTTTTCGATATGATAGATGGTATTATTTTCGTCTAAAATAGATGACGAAAAGGAAGCTTCATCTTCGACGATATTCGAAAAGTTGGATTCTTTCTTGTCCGGAAAATTTTCCTGAAATGTGAAATGATGAATAAATATTGATTATTTCATCAATTTCATCCATTTCAATAATATCTTCATCAGATGTGAGATGTAATGCCTTAAGTCTTGGTTTCTTTAACCACGGCGATTTGTTTTGGTTTGCGGAATATTTTGCGTTTAAGAGATCTTAATGCCTACGAGTTTCTTCAACTTATTCGAAGATTTGTGTTGTTTAGGCTCACCTTCTAATGGTTCCATATCTAAAAAGCGATCTGAGATAACGGGAACGAACTTTTTATCAAAAATCGAAAAGTTTTGATCGAAAGGATTTGTTTGCATATTAATTGTATAGGTTGAAAGTTGTATTTTTAAGAAGTAGATTATTTTTTAAGGCTTGCAGTTGTTTTGTTTTGCAGCAATGTAAAATCTGAGCGGCCCTTGCTTTTATAACTTTTGAGCAAAATCCGTGCTTTTTAATGTGTGTTATAATTAAACATTATTATTGTCAAAAATGTGATCTAAGTTTCCAGATATCGTTATTATCTGTGGTAATACTTACAAAGTATTATAGTTGATTAACACGTAAAGTAGTTACGGGGTAATGGTCGACCGAATTTTTGTTGATTGGTTGCGATTATAATACTAATAATCATAAATTTTTTTGTCTTTTGACTTGTATTATCAAATGTATTATCAAAAAAAAAAAAAATCCTTGATTTTGTATTGTACAAGTACTTGAATTCTTCCATGAATTGACAATTGTATTATTTTGAATTTCTAACAAAAAAAAAATCTGATCCGACAAAACCATAAACAATAACTTGAATTACTTACATACTCGGATATTATGACAAAGACATTCTCAATTTACTAAACTTTTAATATTTTTTTCTTGCGGATTTTTTAATGCTCAAGTAATGGAAATTTAAAGATCATTAAGTACGTTTTATCAAGCAAGTGTACAACTTTAAATTTGAAAAATCGTGTCTTACTTACGTTTTACATAACATTGGAAAACACGTCAAAAAAAAAATAATTACTTTTGTATTTTGGAAAGAAAAAGATATTCAAATAATGTGTTGTATTCAAAAATTTAGTGATAAGTATGATTTGTAATAATGTTCGGGCAATTCATTGTATGGTATAGAACATAAAAAAAAAACACAGTTTCTTTATGGAAATCTATAGCGTTTGAACTTATAAGTGTACTGCGCCTAATGAGAAATCATCGCTTACTTTTTCAAAATATTCAAATGAAAATATTTGTATATTATTAACAAAAAAAAATTATAACAATCATAGAATTGGTATTTCCAAGAACTACCTAAATTACTTCTTACATAGAACTTGCATAATTAATATTTGCCGCAATTTCGAAAAAAATGATATAAAAGTCTTACATATATCGAAGTAATTAATAAGAAAGCGTGGGAAAGTAAAAAATTTACAATTATGAATACGACATTTTCATTGACAATTTTTCAACTAAAAATATCTGTAAATGATAAAGTCTTCCATAAACTAACTAGCGTGAGCTTGAAGTAGGACAACCGTATCTCTAGTATCAAATGTAATGATTTAATAAATCTAATAATTTAAAAGTCTTGCTCTTGATAAAAAAAGTTTTTTTGAATATAAATCAAAAGGATAAAATCTTAGTTTATTTAATAATAAATATAGGACATTAAAGACTATTCAATTGCTTAAAATGTAGTTTCGATTAAAAATTATATTCAATGCTTTTATATCTATAAATCAATTTTTGCGTCTGTAAAATAAAAAAAAATGATCCACAGATATTTAATAAAAAAAATTTTATTTTTTAAATGTCCAACAAGGAACTATAAAGGTGTAAAAAAAATAAAAAGCTTAAAAATACGTGTTTCGCGACGAAGAAAATCAGAAATTTTCATTCAATTCGAAAAAAAAAACAAAACCAATTCGTTTCGGGGCTTTATTCATAGCAAAATTTATATATAGTATATCTTTACATTTTTTTCTTGAAATATATCTGGTAATATATATAAATAACTCCATAATAATAATAATTATTATTGATTCAGTTAATAATTAGTTAATAATTTATTAATACTTAAAAATTTATTACTATATAATCGCTAACACCATTTTATGACCATGTAGTTTCGATCGCGTAACATAGCAGATCAACGTAGCAAAAAAAATTATCAGATCAATCATTTATGTATCTGCATCAGCCTTTTTTATGGTTGAATCCCAAATTAGGTAACATCTAATCTTGAACGTGCACAATTCAAGTTATTTTAATTTTCTTGCCTGCATAATTTTTTTATCTCGTTCATTCCTTGTATTTATTGAACTTCAAGAAAATGACATACACTCATTTCAATTTCTATAATCTTTCGGATGATGAGCTTTATGATGTCCAAGATTTAAGCTTCGAAAATTTTTCTAAAACGAAACTTTATCAGACCCCTGATGAGCTTTACGCTTATGAACATTATCCCTTTTTTACAAGTTCTTCTGATGAACTTGAAAAGTCGGGTCATTACTATGATAATTCCTATGAATGTTCTTTAACATACGACGATTCCAATGATCAATTTCATTATCCAGTAAATGAAGAATTTGATGATTCTTTACCGATATCTTCTGATGATGAGTCATTTGATTTTGAATTTGAGAGCAAGGTATTATTTTTTATTAAAATAATATTACTAATTTTTGATTCAAAATAAGACTTTCAATTGCTAATACTCAAAAAAAAAATTAAATGGTGATCTATTGGAAACGTAGAGTGAATCATCAAATTCTGATTATGATGGTTCTAGTGAAAGTAACGGGGATGAAGAATCTGATAATGAATTTCATGCGCAAGATTTAGTACCTGATACATGTGATAAATTCTATCTGCAAGACCAAGAATTTAAAGAATTTAAAGAATTATTTGATTTCTATAATGAAATCGATATGGATGAAGAGGAAGAGTTTATGGATGTGAGTTGATGAGTTTCTAAACGGACTATATAAGCTTCTAGATTAATAAAAAAAACAAATCTTTTTTTCTAGGAAAGCGGATAATTAAAAGTGATACTAGGACAATAATTGCTTATGGAACGGTTAAGCATATAATTATTCAAATCAAGTTGATATTAATAGAGATATCGAACCTAACATCATCTCATCAACTTGTATTTTATGCATACAATATTGTATTTTAAATATTATAGAATAATAAATTTGTGTTAGATTGTTTAGGTTGGCTCAATAAATTTTAATGTTTGTATGAAAGAATTTCGAATTTATCAATTTAATACTTTTATCATGTGATGCGTTTAAATGATTTTTGTAATAACGAATAATGATTTCTTATTTTTATTTTATTAAAAAAACGATTTCGATAGTTGAATATATGGAAAATTAGAATTCTTTTTAAATCATTTTTATATATATATATATATATATATATTTAATTTCGGTTCAAAATGCTCTGTTTCACAACAACATCTAATTTAGTACATCTCCAGAAAAATCAATTTATAATGGATCTGTTGTAGCCAAAACGTCACTATGTCCCAAGTTAAACTTGGGATATCCCAAATCGGAATTCCTATTTCGGACTTCCCAAACTGGAATT